CAAACTTGCTATGAAGGCTGTAATAACAAATTTTTCATCTGGGACATCCACCTTCAAGGATTCTGAGTTGAACCGTTGGACAAAAGACCGTAGGTTCTCATCAGGTCCCTGTTTCACATTTAACAAATGGTAGCTCAGTTTTCTATAGGTTCGAGCTCTGATGAAGTGAGACACAAACGAGATTGACAGCTCTTTAAAAGAGAAAATTGAGGCTGGGGGGAGTCTGTTGAACCATGCTAAGGCTGAGCCCTTCAGGGTGATAGCAAAGGCCCTGCATCTCACTGGATCTTGATATCCATGCAACTCTATTTGGTTTTTATAGGTGTTGAGGTGGTCCACGGGATCTTTTGTCCCATCGAAAGCATCCACCTACGGCATTCTGAATTTATGTGGGAGAGGGAAATGCAGCATCCCAACAGTGAATGGGGATTTGTTTTGTTGCACCAAGGCATCCATAGTGACTAGGGCCTTGCTCTTCACTGCTTCCTTCATCTGGCTGAGCTCTTGTTGGATGTTTTTGAAACATTGCTCCCAGTGGTGTTCTATTATCTCCTGTTGATAAGGGAAGAAGTCGTTCATCTCCCCTTCCTTATACTGACTTTGCACTTCCTCGTTGTGACCATTTCTAGGGAATAGCCGAGGTTCTTGCCCCAAGGTCTGGCTATTCTCTTCCACCTCATTAACTTCTCTGAGGGGGTCAAGATGCGGTTGCTCTCTTGGTGGTGGGTTATTCTAGTCTCCTTGGGCCGGTTGCACCTCCTGTGGGCGTTGTAGGATCTTTAAGAGCTTTTCCTTCTGTTTTATTAGATGTTCATTGACAAGACGAAGGGCCTCCATCTCATTATTCATGGGAATGCCCCCCATGGGGGATCTACTTCTTGAGCGTTTTCGGATCGTCTGTTATTTGTGGCTTCCTGTTGATCTTGCATCTGTAGAAGATTGGTCTGACTTCGGCTCATGTTTCGCGTTGATACCATCAGTCACTAAAAAATTAGTTTATTCGTAACAGAAACAGTCGTTCTCACAGACGACGCCAAACTGATGGCGTATTTCAACGTGGATGAGCTTAAAGTGCAGGTAATGTGAGATGAGCATGGATCAGAGCTTCAAGGCTCATGTATGATGCAACGATAAAGTATTCAGGGGATTAAAGGGGTGTACACAGTGAAAATATAGTGGTTCACAATTCGAGAGCTCGGCTAATCCACTCTTCAATGAGATTCTTGCTCCTTCTTTCACTATTTACTATATCAAAAGGTTTATAGACTGTAATATGTGATACTAGGGTCCTCTCCCCTCCTTGGGGGCGTTACATAGTATTTATAGGGATGTTCCTTATTCAGTGGGATCTTGGCCGAGATTCTTGCCCTTATTTCATGGGTTCTCCTTAATGCTAGGAGAAGATCTTGGTTGGTTGAGATTAGGTGCCTTGATTATAACTTCCTAACGCTTTAGGAACCTCTTGTGGTTATCCAGTCATTGTTTTGCCTCAAGAGGCATTCAACCCTTACCTTCTGAACTTAGTTAATATGACTGGCCTCCCGGTTAGAGCTGAACTCCTGAGCTAACCTCACTTACTTTAGGCTGACCTCAGTTACTTTAGGCATCATCAATGGTAAATACATCATATTAATGGATTCTTCGTCGATTCTTTGCAATGTATTTTCAAGGAAACGAAGTCCGAACGACGAAAAAGAAATTGCTAGATGTGAAAAATGGCACTCGTGAACTCTATCTTTCACTTTTTCTCGATGGAAAATGTTATTTGGATTTGGAACTAATTTGGGCTCTCAATTCAGTGCAACCATAGAATTGAAAATGAGATTTATTTAACACTGAAACTTACAACTAATCTAATAATTGTATTGAATTAGATTTTCGATTACCCAGCCCAACAAGACTCATATAATCTATAATAGCTCCAAAAGCAAACAAACAATGCTGAGGAGAGCAGATATGTCTTGTTTATGAAATAGTCTTATGGAGTTGTAATCTTCTTAATTACTTGTTGTATTTGCTTATTTCACCACCAATCCTGACGCTTCTTGTTCTCATCCGAAGCATATATTCACAGACTATTGACCTTTTTAGAGTGGTCTTGCTGTTACGATTCACTGAAATTTAATTTTTTATCGTTTGATTTGTAAAAAAAAAAAAAAATTGACCTTTTCAGAAATCTATTTCCATAGATTAATAGCCCTTCTTAGTTTTTTCTTATTCTCATTACTGGCTGTTTCTTATTTGTTAATTTTCCTACCAAACATTTGTTAGTTGACTTGAACAATTTTCCACTTTCCACATTCAAGTGGGGTTTAAATTACACAAAATTCACATCACAAGCAATTCAAAACCTCAAAGAAAAAGAATAACCAGCATGCCTAAATGGACCGATTTCCAAGTCTTGCCTCCCACTGAACTCACCTGCTTCGCCTTTAGACCTTTGATAAAGGATTCCATAAGATTTTACCCCCCCCCCCCCCCCCAACACCAACCACCACCACAAAATCAAATTGTTTTGTAAAAAATATTCATATTACATATCGATATCATGTAGGGTTCATAAATTTGGTTAGGTTAAGGATGCTTCATGTCCCCATTTGGACGTGTTTTGAGTTATACTATAATAAGTTTATTTAAATTTACAAAAAAATCACTCCTATGGTCCATTGCTATCAACTTTGATGCACCTACAACTCGATTCAAACCTAACCCAAAAATTTAAGCTCAACTCCAAAGTTTCAGCTACACTTAAATTGGTCTCTTCTGGTCTTTATATATAAGTCCTATGATGTTTTCTATCCAAATCGATGTGGGATTCTTGTCTTTTAGAATGAGGATTAATCCCAATTCGGGACACTATACAAATCTTTGATTTAGGCCATTAGCGAACCAAATACAAAACAGATACGAAGTTAGCAAGTTGAGTTTCGCCTAACCATGTTCGGGTGGTGTGAAGATGGACCCGTTAAATATGATTCAAACTGAACATGACACGATTATAATTAGATCAAATATAGATTAAATATATTTTGACATGACATAATTGAGATATGACACAAACCCAACACGACAGTGAAACATTAACAGCCATACTTCGACTTAAATGCGGCTTGCTTTTTTAGTCTCCTCTCTATCTTACTTTTCATTAAGCATTTAAACAATAAAGAGTTCAGGTGGGAATACAAAAAGCTTGATGGAGCTCTTCATTGACAAAAGTGAAATCCAGAGAGTTAATTGAAATTTTGAATAATTTGTGCCTTAAAACGTCTCACAATCACAATCATTTACTTTGTCAATGCATGCAAGGTATGCATTAATAAATTATATTTATAAATATATAAATCACCAGCTTATTGTTGGGACGATTCGCTTTCCAAACTCCCAACCACCATGTTATTTATAACCAAGTTGGTAGGCCTTCTGAATAACATATTTCCCCAAAAAAAAAACTTGCTGGTGAGAGAGGACACTTTGATAAAATTTTACCACTCGGATTTTATCTCGAGCTTGTCGGAAATTTTTATAAATACTTAACTTATACCTTTTTTAAAAAACTTAAAACTTTTAGAATAGATGATGATTTAACATGTATCAAAGCAAAAAGTTCGGCCTTTAAATCTCTTTACCATCCTAATAATCGAAAGACTTTCACGTACTTAGCTCATATCAGCCTATAGGCGAGGGAGCGTGTTTTAGAGTAATGTTATTTGGACCTAAAAATTTGACCTCATTTTTTAACCTAATTCACTAAGACATTTGGATTAATTATCGGTCCCATTAAATATTAGAACTTATTTCTATCCAATAATTCTAGTGAAGCCACATCATCAGGTCAACAAATAAGATCTAATTTTTAAGTCTAAATAACATTACTCGTTAAAATATATAGATACATAAGTAATATTTAATACCATCTCCATCTTCTTAAATGTTTTAGAAGGTTATGAATCGTGATTAGAACCTTAACAAATCTATTTTTGATCAAGGAACAAGAGTTAAACAGCAAAAAAAAAAAGGAACAAGAGTTTCATATGCACAACAGGTACAGTTCGCTTGATTGCATTTTTGGAATTTTGCTATAATTTCATATGCCCCCACACATTGTTCTTGATTGCAGTTTCGCAATTTTGTTGTCCACCCCATTCCTCCCATGAATATTCCATTAGAGTAGAGGTTAGTAGGTCACTGGATAGGTTTCCTTGCTAACCTTTTCTGCTCTATTTAATTGCATTTTAGGCTTTTGTTAATTGATCGATCATATGCAAAAATATTCTAACTTCAGCCACAAGCATAAGAACCGTGTTTTTGGTGAGATCAGCTGCTAATCTTCATCCAACTCTCTGAAAATTGCATAACGTCATCTTACTTAGTCTTCCATGCCAGTTCAGAACCCATGATAAAGAAAGGAAAAATGGAAAAAAAAAAAACTAATGGAAAGTAGACCACAAGAGAAATATGAACTTTCAGTGTTATCTTCCTCTTAGCCATATAAGTCAAATCGAAACATTAGTCACTTGTAGTATTCAGCACCATGGTCGAAAGTTACGATGTTGATCATCGATTCGATTTTAGCATTATGGAACGATATTGAACAATACACGAAATGTTACAAAGGAAAACAATAGTTAATCAGAACTAGATGTTCCGATCATATTTTGGCATCGGACATGGTATAGTAGCTGAATTAGTGGCATGACTCCGACAACAGGACTCTTGTTGACTTGGTGAACGACTTGGTCGAATAGCTTAAAAATCTTGGTTTATTACATAATGTGACATGATATCGGATCGAAAATATCTGACTTAAATACAAATTCAGCCAAATTGTGTTCATGTAAGCCATGGTCAGCACGCCACCATGTCAAACTGTTATCCAATTAATAAAATCTGCATAAAAAAATGAAAGTGAGATGTGATTTAAACTTTAAGCCATTTGATTAATTTTATGATATTTTTAGGACTACCCAACCTTCTTCAAGAGTTAACAAGACCCATTTATATACCAGTAAACCCTCTCTCTGATCAACATGAAATGGCAAAGAACTTTTCAACATCATCAATGACCTAATACCAAAAATGAAGACCAGCCCACATCTCAACCTAGCCCTCTGGGGCTTCTTCTTCCTTCTCTCCATCTTCTCAAATCTCTCTCACCAAGCTTCTTATTCTCCTCCACCCCTTCCAAACCCTAGACTTCAAAATGCTTACATCGCCCTCCAAGCATGGAAACATGCAATCACATCAGACCCTAAAGGGTTCACTTCAAACTGGTATGGCCCAAATGTTTGTAACTACACCGGAGTATTCTGTGCACCAGCCCTAGATGACCCTCATGTCACTACAGTAGCCGGAATTGACCTGAACCATGCCGACATCGCCGGAACTTTGCCGGAGGATCTGGCTCTCCTCACTGACTTAGCTCTCTTCCATATAAACTCCAACCGCTTTTGTGGAACCCTACCAAACTGCTTCAGTAAGCTCCATCTTCTCTATGAGCTCGACGTTAGCAACAACCTCTTCTCCGGCGAGTTTCCTTCTGTTGTTCTTTCCCTTTCCTCTCTCAGATTTCTTGATATTCGATTCAATGATTTTGAGGGTAAAGTTCCATCAAGCCTTTTCGAACTCAAACTCGACGCTTTGTTCATAAATAACAACAATTTTAATTCATCTTTCCCTGAAAACATTGGTAGTTTACCAGTTTCAGTGGTGGTTTTGGCGAATAGCGATCTTAGCGGTTGTTTGCCATCGAGTATATCGAAAATGGCCGGAACCCTAAATGAGATTATTCTCATGGGCATGGGTTTGAGTGGATGTCTGCCGGAAGAGATAGGGCTGTTGAAGAATGTGACAGTGTTTGATGTGAGCAAAAATGGTTTTGTTGGGACGTTGCCGGAGTCTATGGGAGGCATGAAGAGCTTGGAGCAACTGAATGTCGCGTCTAACAAACTCTCCGGCGAGATTCCGGCGAGTATATGCTCGTTGCCGATGTTGCAGAATTTCACATACTCGGACAATTACTTCTGTAGTGAACCGGCAACGTGCCTCAAATTGCCGGATAAAGATGACCGGGAAAACTGTATTCCGGGAAGGCCGGCACAAAGGTCAGCTGGAGAATGTAAGGCCTTTTATTCACATCCTGTGGATTGTGGTGCTTCTGGTTGTTCACCTAGGAGTCCACCACCTCCCCCACCTCCACCTCCACCTCCACCTCCGCCTCCACCTCCACCTCCGCCTCCACCACCGCCACCGCCGCCTCCCCCACCACTACATCCACTGCCACCGCCATATTAGAATTATTAAGTCACATTGTTTTTTATGTGGCAATTTTTTCTTTAACCAAAAAATTAAAATAAATCACATAAATTTGAAAATTAGGGTAATTGTCAGTTTTTTGTACAAAAAAAAAAAAAAAAAGCTTTACTGGCAAACTTTTATTGTTTGTCATGTATAATTGACCACTTATTTTCAATAATGTTCCTTTAATTTCTTTTTGTGTGAGAAATATTTAATGTTGTTGTCATGTCACTATTTCCATTCAATTTTTATCTCACAATCCCAATTAGATTTTTTAATTTGATACGAAATTAGGGGTGTCAAAATTCGACATAACACGATTAATCGATACGAATTAAACGGATTTTGATGAGATCTTAATGAGTTTGAGTGATAAACGGGTTGACACGCCAAACACGTTTAATAAACGGATCGTGTTCGGGTGAGACATGTCAAACCGTTTATCATACGTTTACCCGTTTAAATAAAATTAATATAATAATAAATTAATAATTATTTTAAAAAATTAGCAAGAAAAAAGAAGTAAAGAAATCAATAAAATAAATAAATAAATAAAGTAGTAGTTCAAAGACAAAAGAGAAGAGTTGGAGGAGAGCACTTCAAAGGCAAAGGCAAACAAATGTCTTTTGTTTTTGTCTCACATTGAAAAATGAGGGGAGATGGGAAAGATTGAGTTGCCTATAAAAGAAAATAGGCTCTTGTTTTTATTTTTAAAGTCTTCAAGTCTTATTTTTCAAAGACAAATGAGAGGAGTTGTAAAGCACTTGAAAGACAAAGACAAACCAATGTCTTTTATTTTTGTCCCACATTGAAAAATGAGGGGAGATGAGAAGGGTGAGTTGCCTATAAAAGGCAATAGCCTCTTGTTTATTTTTTTATAGCCTTCAAGTCTTATTTTTATAAGATATTTTTCAAAGACAAATGAGAGGAGTTGTAAAGCACTTGAAAGACAAAGACAAACCAATGTCTTTTATTTTTGTCCCACATTGAAAAATGAGGGGAGATGAGAAGGGTGAGTTGCCTATAAAAGGCAATAGCCTCTTGTTTTTTTTTTTATAGCCTTCAAGTCTTATTTTTATAAGATTTGATTTAAAATTCTTCTTTTTTGAGGTAAGTGCAATTAGTAGTAAAAAAAATTGAGTATTAAAATTTGTTGATATAATTTTTTTTAAATTAAATGGGTTAAATGAGTTGTGTCGTGTTAGTTACCTGTTTATTAAACGGGTCGTTCGTATTGAGATTTTTTACCCGTTTATTACACGTCGTGTATGGGTTTATTGGTTTTTCACCCGTCACCCGTTTAACCCGACATGTAACCGTTTAACCCGACACGATTGACATCCTATACAAAATCGATACAAAGAAAATTGTGGGTATAATTTATGATCACTTTTTTTGATTCGATTCATATAGTAAATAAATTAATTTATCACAATCTTATAAAAGACGAATATGACTGAACAGGATTTACTTTAAAATAGTATGACTTTCATGCAACCACACACACACACACACACACAACATCATGTATAGTCAATTTATTGTCTTTGAGGTCAAGGGCAAATACCTTTACAAATGGAAATCTAGATTGTTGCAACATAACTTGTACCAACCTTTCATACATGCCAACTAAAATGGCGATTAATTAATGGAACAATAGTGATAATTTGTTGGAGAATGAAAGGGATTAGAAATAGGTGTTACTTCATGTATGTTTCTGTGGACTATTACATCTAAGGTAGAAGTGTGTAGTAAATTCACACGTCTTGAGTTCGAATGTTGATAATTTTTTTGAGATCAGGTCATAAGGGATTTATCTCTCGTAAATTTTCTAGTCCTCGCATGGATGACTTGACTTAAACCGAACTGGGGATGAAATTAATCGAAGTATACGTAAATTAATCCATCACCCTTACCCAAAAAATCAACTTCTTTGCATACAAGATAAACTTACATATATATATATCTCCCACACGATCTAACAAATTCTTAAATTTTTTATGTGACTTAGGTGTGATATTCAAATAATGAACGAGTAAGATATTTTTGGCCTGATTAATCAATCGTATCATGTCCAAAATGACCCAATTTTCAGACAATAAATTATGATATAATACGAGCTAGAAACGAAATAATTCGATTGGACCATATTACTGCCCAATTTGAATGGTGCTGAAGGTCAGTCACATCTATTTCGAGTTAGGAGAGATTATAATTGAAAAATGATGTGAAAGAAAATTATGAATATTGACAAAAATAAAATTTGGAAATTGGGTAAAATGTCTAAGGATATACAGGAGCTTAATTTGATATTATTATACACCCCAAGAAGTCAACATAATTAATCCAATCTTGAATAGGTTATTGTCCCTTCCGGTTCGGCATCAGGTAGGGTTGGGGGGGTCAATGGGCTGCCCAGACCAATCCTCCTGAAGGCTGAAATTAAATAAAATAAGAAATAAAGAAAAAATGCCACGGCTTTTACGTTTTTTAAAGTAAAAATTTTGAATTGATGCTTTTGTATAGGGGTGGCTATTTTTGATACAACACAAAAATATGATTCGAAATCGACATGAAATTAGTGGGTTAGAGTTGGTCATTTTTCGACATGAACCCGTATATGACACGGCCTGTTAACACGAATAATAAATAGGTTGGATTAGTGTCAAACACGAAAAATACGAAATTAACACGATTAACACTTTTAAGTAGTATTATAAGAATAAAATGTTAATTTTTATTATATTTTATCAAGTAGTGACTTAATTTCTATACAAAAAAAGATATTTTTAATTATTATTATTTTTATATTTATTAAGTTAGTTTTTAGTGGGTAGAAAAAGTATGATTATGATAATATGTACGATTGAGTGATATTAAAATTTTAGACATAAAGTGAACGTTAAATTTTTATTCACGAGTTATATAAATCAACTCGAACATAAATAAGTCGACACGACACGATTAGTTAAATGAATTAGGTTAGAATTGACTAGTACTCGACATGAATCTAAAATAACACTACACAACACGATTGTTACCCCTATTCCACGAAATTGTTTACGGACCTATCCGACATATCACTTATGTGGGTCAAAAAGGTCCAGCCCATTGGATCAACAAGGGCCGAAACGCAGCCCATGATATTGTACATGACCTTTGAACCCATTGGATTTAATGTTGTTGGGCCTTTCCCCTTAGATGTTGAATTTGAATCTCATAAAGTAATTTAGTAGTTCTCACCCCCTCCTTAGATGTAGGCTAAACTCATCGATGTTATTGGCACTAAAAATAAATATAAGTGAATACAACTAACCCATTCATTCTCTACAATTCCCTAATCTTTCAAATTTTGTTCCTTAATTATCTCTCTCCCTTCGCATCAATGAAGCCCATCACCATCACCATTGCCAAACACCCCGCCCTTCACCTCATGTCTCTATCGTCACCTTCTCTTCCATGCTTTTCCGTCGTCCTCCATCACCAATTGCACCACCACCCAACATCCAAACAACTACCATCACAATGAACGACTTTCAAATTCCCACTTTTTCTCCTATACTCTCTATCTACAACAATTCTTAACATTGCCTCTCAAACTCCATTTCTAACTCTATTATTCACAAGTCTTGATTCAATCCACGTTAACTCTATTCTAATTTAGATCAACTCCTTCTAAAATAATATCTGAAACCCAAGTCCAATTATTATTTTTGATTCTTAAGAATACTTAGAAAACAAATGAAGGATGCATAACAGTGTGGTCTAGTAATGGGGTTATTTTTTTATAAGTGTACGAGTTTGAATTTGAGTTCCAGTTAGAGAGAGTGAGTCAGTGTCAACGTTACTGTCAGTGTCATGCCCTGTTTTGGGCGTGCGAATCACAAGTGTTTTAAAAGCTGGCGCCTGAAATTTTTTGCAAAGAGAATCATAGTTTAATGCATTTAGTACAAAATTTCAAAGTTTAGGGGTTTATTTGCAACTGTGTCAAAATACAGGGCATTTTTTGGTAATTAACCCTAACCCCAAAAGCTAGGGTTTTGTTCAGGATTATATAATGTTCCTCACCTCAAAACTCGAAGCCACTCACACAGTCATCACAGCCCTCCACTCGCTCGCAAACTTGCCATAGCCTGCCGCACCACCTCGCTCCACCATGGCCGTCGGGTACTCTACCCCCCCCCCCCCCGGGCCAATATATGTATGTACATCTGTATGTTTGTGATTAGCGACTTATCTATATGCTTTTTTGTCTGTAACAGTAAGAACAAGCGGATTTCGAAGGGAAAGAAGAGTGGAAAGAAGAAAGCGTAAGTGTTTGAAAATCAAATCTCTGAACAATTTCAATCACAGATCATTCCATTTTTTTTCTGATTTGTTCCTATATTTTTGGTAATAGAGCTGATCCGTTTGCGAAGAAGGACTGGTATGACGTCAAGGCTCCGTCCATCTTCAGTGTCAGAAACGTTGGCAAAACTCTCGTCACCCGCACTCAGGGTACTAAGGTAATTTTGCTGATTTCATCCGATCACTCTTTTTTTTTTCCTTTTTTTTTATCAATGATATATGTTTTTGCGGGGTGAAAATGTATTGGCCCATTTGGTTTTCTGAATAATTTTATTAGATCTGTCTAGCTGTGGAATAAATGCATGAAGTTTTGTAATGGTAACGAATACACGTATTCGTTGGTAAATTTATGGTGGCTATGTTATTATGTGTAGATAAATCTGTATTGGGTTTTTTTTGTTTTTGCTGCTGATTCTATCTGAAACTTTTTTTTTATTAAACCTCATATAAGTTGATCCAGTTTGTTGTGATGTCCCATTTGTCTATGCTGCTTTTTTCCTATTCATCTATCTGAGTTTATGTGTACATTGATCTAAGAGAATTTTAGCATGAAAAGATAGCTAATCAGAAAAATGAATGCAGCTGTCACTGATTGCTGACGATGTTGTAATAGTTAGATTTCTTATTTCTTGTTTTAAGATGCATAAATGTGGTTCTACCCCGGTCATTGTTTCCATTTATCACCCTTGCTATTTAAGGGAAACAGTGTGCCTAATTGATTTTACTATCATTGCTCACATAGTTGAGATGTAAAAGTTGAACTCTATATGTTCATAGTGTCAACTTGGTGAAAAGGCTTGACTAATAATCAGTCGTGTTAAAAAACTTGTAGGCATGCTTCTGTTTGTAGCATGCCATGCATTCTTTAGTTATTTGTCTGTTGTAGGTTGGTGGTTCATTTTACATAGTTTATTGTTCAATATACGATTGTGTGTATCATACCCTTCGATAGGCACTTTTCTATAATTTTCATAGTAGTATTTGTGCGGCATTGCCTGCCATTGTAAGGTGTAGGAATAGGTTTAAAGCGAATCGGTCTCCTGAGGTCCTAGGCAAGAAGCGAAGTGAATGTCTCATCGCAGCAAAGCGAATAATATAAAAAATTAGCAAATATTTTAGTTTAATACTTTGATAACTCCTAAATATTCAAGTTTTAACTTTACAAATACAAAATATTAAAATGCAACCAAAATAATAAACATTTACATATTTTAAATAAACAAGATATTAAATATTAAATATTATTGTATTCTAAAAATAATCAATTGACATAATCATGTCATCTAAATAGAAAGTTAGCAAATGTGGGTTCGACTCCCACCGTGATTGATTAGTATCACCACTAAATAATACACTAACAAATTGATTAATTAAATAGAGCATATAGTAAATTGATTAATCAATTTGATTAACCAAGCAAATTGATTAATAAGAGTATTCACCACAAGACGAAGCATTCAACATCATCTAATCATAACAAGACAGATTATCATATGATATTTTCAAATGAATCAATCTATTTATTTTATACATCTATATAATAAAACACTTAGAAGTTTGAAAGTTTATCCCCTATATATTTTGTCTCTAAAAAAATCACATTACCTAATTTTACCATATGTTCAATAATTTAATATTTAATTAATTTGTAATTTAACACAATTTTTATTTCATACATTGTTCATACACGATAGTGTACACATGTTGAAAAATTTTTGTTGGGTTATACATTTTGGGAAAATTTTTGACGTTATTTTTTAAAAAATAATAGGTAAAAATTAATTTTAAATGATGTAATCAAAGAAACAAAAAAATAAAAAATTATTCTTAAGTATAATATAATGGAATCAATTTTTGAGTGTTTGAATTTTATGTTTTATCGTGCATTTAGGCACGGGTTATGGTTAGTATACATATATAACATCATCTCTGCTAGGTTTTAGTTGATGTTAAAGGAGGAAGAGGAGGGGGGGAGGGAGAAAATAAAAAAAATTGCAATTAGGCTTTCATTTTTTTTCGCATGGCTCGCTTCTTTGCTTCGTTACCTAGGCTCGTTTTTTTCTCACTTTACTTAACCTCGCTTCGCCTTAGTTGTTTAAGGCGACCAAGGCTCGCTTTGCTTCTCTCTTCACAACACTGGGTGTTTCTATGGTGTTTTCCTTGTTTTAAGCTTAACTCTCAGGAACTGGCAGGCAGTTTAAGCTTGCCTTAACTTGTGCGGCTTGCAACCATATGATTATTATCGCTAGACTTGAATATAATTTTAGCATATTTCACCGACAGGAAAAAAGATCAACTATTAAACAACCCAACTGTCTCATCAAGGAATAGATCAACTATAAACAACCCAACTGTCTCGTGAAGGAATAGAAGAAGCAAAAGGAGATGAATTTTAAAGTTGGGTTATTATCGTAACCCAACTGTTTCTTATTTTTTGTGTTTGCAAAATTTGAAATAGGCTGTGTTTTTTAGATTTCCCACAAGGAGTTGGAATACCTCTTATTATGCTTTCGATTGTAAGAAAATGTTACTTGTGTACCCATAAGGATACATTTATTCCATTCAAGTCCATTTCTTATTCATGTTCTCTCTCAGATTGCTTCAGAAGGACTTAAGCATCGTGTGTTTGAGGTATCCTTGGCTGACCTTCAGGGTGATGAGGACCATGCCTACAGAAAGATTAGGTTGAGAGCTGAGGATGTTCAAGGGAAGAATGTTCTGACAAACTTCTGGGTATGATCAAGGACTAAACATCTTATTTTTCCCTTCTTTCTATGTGCATAACACTTATCTCATGGTTGCTGTCTTATTTTTTCTATTGTTTTATTTTGTTCTGGAAATTGTAGGGCATGGATTTTACTACGGACAAGTTGAGGTCACTTGTGCGAAAATGGCAATCATTGATTGAGGCTCATGTCGATGTGAAGACAACAGACAACTATAGTTTGAGGATGTTCTGCATTGGCTTCACTAAGAAGCGTGCGAACCAGCAGAAGAGGACCTGTTATGCGCAATCTAGCCAGATACGCCAGGTAAATTGTCATTACAGTCGAGAATGTTGTTTTTCATCCTTGTGGATTATGCTTTCATTCGTATTCTTTTAAGGTTTAGAATTAGAAAAGTTTGCAATGAGTTATACTTGTTAGTCCTATCAAAAGGGGCTTATTCTGATGATCAATTTTTTTTGTACAATTGCTCTGTTATATTGTTTTGATGTTTGTATCTCTGCCTGCAGGGAAATAATTAAATATCACCTCCTATGTTTTCTGTTTTTGTTAGATTCGCCGGAAGATGAGGGAGATCATGGTCAGCCAGGCTCAATCTTGTGATCTGAAGGAGTTAGTCCAGAAGTTCATTCCAGAGTCAATTGGCCGGGATATTGAGAAGGCAACTTCAAGCATCTACCCTTTGCAGAATGTTTTCATCCGGAAGGTCAAGATCTTGAAGGCTCCAAAGTTTGACCTTGGGAAGTTAATGGAGGCAAGTTTCTTGTATACTCTGCCTTATTTCTTACTGTGGTCGAATTGGGCTGGATACAGCTAATGTGGTCGAGCCATCAATTTAGTTTGTAACCTAATTTTCATTTGACCTTTCTTTGTAAATTGGTTCGGTTGTGCAGGTCCATGGTGATTACTCAGAAGATGTTGGTGTAAAGTTGGAAAGGCCTGCTGAGGAGCCAATGGCCGAGGCAACTGAAGTAGTTGGAGCTTAAGTAAAAGTTTTGCAAATCTCCTTATTGGCATGTCATTTGGTTCCTACAATTTCCTTAAATGAGACACTAAAATAATGTCAGGTTCTTTGTTATATTTATTTTTGTTTGAGTGATTAGAAGTGAATTTTGCCATGAAAGAAAATATTTTTGTGCAATGAGTCTACCCAATAGTTCCTAGTATTTTAATTTTACACTTTTATATTCTTCCTATTTGCTGGATGTAATGTGTTAAACAAGTGTGGATCCTTGTTGTCCTTAATGTGTTTGATCTTGAGTCTTTATTTAATTTTGTGACGCTTAGGAATCATCCATCTCTTCCTTCTTGACCTTTTATTTTGGTTTGCTGGTAGAATGGGCAAAGGAGAGCACCTGACCCTCACTGATGGGATCATGAGGCCCTTATTCATGTCTGTTACTCCTTTTAGAAATGAAGCTAGCATAGCGAAGAACCACCGAGCCCTAATGTAAACTTCAAGATCTTCCTTCATGACCTTGAATCATTGGTCTTAATACTAAAATTTACCACAATGCCTTCTGAGAATGCCTAGATGCTGTAGCAGTTTTGCATATCTGATGTTCAGGGAATTGGTTGAACATCAAAAGGAGTATGTGTGCTCGAGTACCTTGTCCCTGCGGATTTGCTTGATTCTTCTGTTTAGGAGAGTGTGTAGTTTTATGACCTTTGTCCACTGTTTATGTCCCAATTAACCATTTTCGGGCAACCTAGCAGAGAATAGGTGCAACTACTTTTGTAGTGCTGAAAATGTCCAAATACTGAAAGAGCTGGGAAAGCGTTTTGAAGCTGCTTTTGCTCAATCAGAAGAACACTTACAATATCAATGGTACAAGCCACGTTCAAGTGTGACATGGGAGCCCATTTCTTACTGTTTTCGCATGGGGAGAGTTCTTGCATAACAGGTTTTCTCAACAAAAGAACAATCATATATGCAATGGCAGTCAAAAACGAGGGTTTGTTGGCCACTGGAGATGAAAATGGGATTGGAAGAGTGGTCTTTTCCTTCTTTCTTCTTTCGAAATTAGAAGAAAGGAGGATTCGCTCGATTCTATAGATGACATAATATATATTTCTGTAGATAAGATACTATTGAGGAACAGAAGGTGACAAGACTATCAAGATGTGGAAGGAGGATGAAAGTGCAACCCTTGATACTCATCCCTTCAACTTCAAGCATCCTAAGGAAATCTTGCGGTTTTAAGAGTATTTTGTTCTTCTCTAATGTTGATTCACCTTATTTCCTGATAAAATTTTATTAAAAACCCTGCGGTATTTAGCCCAAAGTTCATTTTGTTCTTTAGTGAACTGTATTGTGTTTGCTTCAATTTGAACTTATTTTAAGGGCTTGTCGTTGTATTCCAACTAAAAAGATGACACCCATCTTATAATCCTATTGGGCAACCCTCCCCACCTTTTGTAGTGCTCTCGTAGTTGGAGCTTGCCAAGTACCTTTCTGGGGTAAATCTAGCCAGACAAGACAGCAGTATCACTTAGCTTAAGCAGTATCACTTAACAGGCTCAAAAAAAAAAAGAATCTTCTATAAGTAAAACAATTTGACAGGTCTGAAACATAGTTGATTATTACAGAAACAATAACTATTATACAGGCATAGAAGGCAAGCTCAAAGGGTATACAACTAAACAACATAACCACTAACTACAGTAAGATTGAAAGGACTCCATCCAAGTTCACCAAACTAGTGACTATCTCAATGTTTTGGGGTGAGTGAAGGAAAGGAAGGAATTGATTGCAAAATCAGCTTCCGGCTGCTCCTCTGACCAGGGGATAATCCAAAGTCGCAGTGGGGAGGAGAGACTCTCTTATTGTTGGGAGATGCAGACTTGACACCACTGATAGGAGAACAGTTCCCATGAAGAATTTCAGGCATTTCATCTTCTCGAACCGTTTGAAAATGCTTCTCAAACTTGGTTGGTGGTTGACAAAAACTTGGCTTTCCAGATCTTTGGCTACCATACAACCCAGAAGAGGATCCGATGGAAAGAAAAGAAGATCTTGGCAGTTTAAACTTCGAGGAAAATGGCTGCTGAGCCAATTGTCTGAGACACAAAATATCAATTAAAATCTGGAAATAATAGGAGCCAGCAATTTCACTCCACAGCTGCTCATACCTGGAAAATTGTGTAGGCGTTGCAGGTAGAACAGAGTCTGTATTCTGCTTAGCATCATTCTGGATTACAAATTTATGTGAACTGCTTTCTACCACACTCTTTTCACTTGTTTCTGTTTGCTCTTCTTCTAGTTCAGCCTCTGTTTCTATTAGAGCAGATCCTAATAAATGAGGCAAAAGAAATGGTGAAGACTAAAATGCAATGGTATGCATGACTGCATCAGCGAAACTGGTAACATGACAGAAGACATAAAAATTCAAGAGGAAAGGCACACGGCCTGAAAAGATAAGAAAAAGGGGGAAGGTAGTTGATTGAAGTGGTAAAAAGCATTAAAATAAAATTTTCATTGATGTTTGAAAGCACGCATACCAACTTTTCTGCCAAACGTATTCTTGCACCCTTCACATCTGCAGTTAATGGAGCACCCAACACCACCCTTCAAAGAAAAATCAATTCTCAATCAGCTGATAAAGAACAACAAAAGTATATAGACTACATCAAGAGAGAAAAACCTGATAGCATTCACAGTATTTCTTTAGGCAACCAGATTTCTTGCAGTTGCATCCTCTTTTATGCCGTGCTGAAGCAGGAGTCTTGCTGGAGTGATCCTGTGAGAACAAGGACCATTAATCGACACATGGTCTTTCAGAATAAAGGTGTATGCAAATTTAAAAAACCAAATTTTGTGTTCTAACCCCAATTTCAGGAACGGCATCAATGCTTCTAACCACTTTTGGAGCAAACGCAAGGGGATTGCGAGATTCAATCTGTTTCCGAGTTTCCAGAACAGTATCTTCATGAACAGGTTTGTTAAAGCAATCTTGACATGAACATGGTTCCACACAATAGAGACCAGCAGCAAAGCATTCACAGTAACTGCAATGGAAAGTTCAATAGGTTCATCATGTGAAAAATGATAAGGTTTCTTCCCCATACAGGTTTTATGGTGAACAGGTGAAGTAACACCAAAGAGCTTTGTCTATAGTGTTAGTAAGGCTATCCTTATGCATGGGCTACCAGAGTTTTACTTAACTTTCCAAACAGGGTTCATTCACTTGTGCGATGAATTTCTTCTCTCGTTTTCAAATCAATCTTTGTTTTATCTACAAATTAGATTGATTATTCTATATGGGTAAATTCCTAAGGTCATAAAAAACATCGTGTTGCTCTTACATAATATTCACATCTTTGGACAAATGGCCAATATTTGTACCTCAGACATGGAGCCATAGAAAACAATGGCTACTCTCAAATAATATCAGAGATGATAATGAAGAAAGAAATTAACAGAAAGATGTATATCAAACCACCAACTTTTTGGCTGGCATCTTCAAACCTTGATATACAAGAATAAGACACAAGAAAACCGTTTTTAACCATAAAAACAGAACTTTACACAATGGTACAACAGCTAAATTTTGAACTCAACATAGTCAGCTCCATTGGCCAACCATGGCAAGAGACCAAATTACGTAGGAAGCTTATCAATTCAGCCATACACTAACCAAAAAATTGATTTCCAATCCAAATCAGTTATTGCATAACACAAGTCAAGTAAATAGTAAGCAGGACATTATGCGGAAATTTTGTGACAACTTTAAGGAAAAGAAAGAACTTACAGCTTCAAGCATTTTGATTTTTTACAGTTACAACGCTTGCAGGACTCAGTTTCTCCAGCATGTTCGAACCTACGCCTGAAAATCCAATTAAACCTGTCAAAGTGGAAAACAAAATTGCAATAGAACGGAAAATTTTATCAAGAATATGACACCTGCCTCTTTTTCTTTGGGCTACTTTGATTGAACTCTTCATTGACTACATAGCCAGATACCTGAGAAGCCTCTTCCAACTCCGAAGCTCCGTTTTCAACAGGACCCAAGTCTATTTCTGAAGACGTCACAGCCACAGAACTGTTTAATGGTTCTTGAAATGAAGCACTGGATTCTGGTGCCGATAATAGTTGTATTCCAGAAGCCAAAGCTTCATGCTTTACAACCTTGTAGTCCTTTGAAGTTGTTGCAAGAGCATTTAAATGCAATCCGATTCCAGGTAAAATGCACCGTGAAGAATCATTGGTGGGCTTTAGATGAGCTAGTTGCTTATCATTGGAACTAACGTTTCCATCAGGTAGTGATAACATGGTAGAACCACAACTTGAACCCTCCTCTAAATGCTTTCTGCGAGCCCCCGTCATCTCAAAAACCAGACAGCGTCTTCTCATGCCACGGTACAAATTAGAAACAGGCTACACAGAAGCAGACCAAACCAAAATGTCAGGTTAAAATGTTCAAAAATAAATACATTACGTCTGCCCACTATATAGCACAAAATCTAGCACCTCAAAGCTACTATTGTAGTGCTCCATTGTGCATGTGTGATCTAATAGTCATCCTAATCGCTTAGAAGGGTCACAAAAGAAAAAAAAATATATCATCTCCAGTATCTGCTAGCAAAGGAAAAACAAAAGCTACACGGAAGCAGACCCAACCAAAATGTCAGATTAAAAACTTAAAATGACGGAAAACAAATCCAATCATCTGCCCGCTCTGTGGCACACTCTAGCACCTCAAAGCTGCAAGCAAATTTAACTAGCCCCCGAGGATTGAGCAAAAGCAGAATCCATTCCAAAGTTTACTCTGGCACTCAGAAGGTGAAAATAGTCCCTTAGGATATACACCAGACAGTATTCTCTGCAAAGGCCTAAATATCGCCACAGTCGATTAGTGAAAGGCCAATGCACTTGAGTTGTTAAGTCATCCCGTCACTTTGGCACAATGCACCTTAAGAAACACACATTAAGCATGTGTTACACTGACAAAGATATACAATACAGAACTCATGTATTGAGATACAAGGCTTCCTTATATGACTACAGGCCAGTAAATCTCCAACATCTTAAAGCATACATCAAGAACAAAGAAAGGGACCTAGGTTATTGGTTTTCTCAAGCAAAAACTTCAAAATGTAAATCAAGCATCATTTCCAGATTTCAACACTCAATTTTGATCAATATTTACTGTTTTTCCTGTCATGTATCTTCACATCCTAAGTCACAAATGTAGGAACCAAATAAGTAAAAAAGCTTGACAACGAGATATAACATTGTGTTGTTTCGTGATTGTAAAATAGACCTTAGATGATAAAAATAAAAGGGAAAAGGTATTTGAGAATAGGTTTTATAGGGCCTAACTATGGTGTGATGTCTTCCTAATGTGGCTAAATAAATGGGAATTGGTATCAACCAAAGCCAAATTAACAAAATCAGTAATGATATACAAAAGAAATTAATGAAAGTCATGCAATACAAATAAGGCAGGAGAATCAGCTGAAAAGGACAGGATTAAAAAAATGGAGAAAGACAAGAGCAAAGAAAGGAAAAAAGGTCATGTCAGAAAGAAAAATAACAGAACTGACAAGACAAAGGTTAAAAAACAAACGCAGAAAAAAAACCCTTGCCTTCATGTAACAATTCCCTCTGTACTAGAACCATACTACCATGTAAGAAGGGGTCCAAAATTGAATTGCATTTGATACTGCTATTACATATTCTAAGATTAATAGTTACACTACATGATTTGCGGGTCAAGTCCCAATCAGTGTAGGTCACAGGGTTAAATTAAGTGGTGAGTTTAAGTCGGTCACTTCAGCAGCATAGCCAGGGGCCACTCAATTTGATGAAAGTTGCATATGCTATAAAATGAATATGGACAAGCCAATTACATTGTAATAGAAAGTGGGCAACTGATCCATAACAGCTAATACTTGTCAAGTTGCCATGACCATAAAATGGTAATACAAGTTACATGGTCTTCTCAAGCAGAAATAAGAAATGAATAACAAGCTAATCAAAGGGCCAAATCATATCTAAGCATGCATCAACAACACAATTAATTTTGATCTCACTGTACTAATGTAGCTAAACACTACAAGCATGCAACTTGTGTTGATAAAAGTGAAAACAAACAAATTAGTGGCTTCTATGCTATAAAATGTTAATGGAATACTTAGTCAGAAAATGTAAACAGAATGCAAGCCCCCACCTCATCATCTATATTTTCACTTGACCCACCAGCCACACAATTACTCAATGAAGTATTAACAAACATGTCTTGTGTCTCAGCTATTTCCTTTTCATCACCTCCCTCTCCCAGTTGAATGTACAGATTTTCTGCTCTGTGTAGTTCATCTGAACCGACTGCACCAACAGCTTGTGTCGTCTGCAAATCATTGATAAGAGAAGTACAGAACCTTGTTCCAGAATCCAGTGATTTTTGAGAGGGACCCTTAAAATCCTCCGTACCATTGGGTGACTCAAAAACTAATAGATCAGCAGCATCAGAAATCAAACATTCCCAATGACAACCAGCGGCTTCACTAGTTTGGTCAATTTGGCTTATTCCTTCTGTATGCCCTTCACATCCAAAGATACCTTTTTCCGAGAAATCTTGAACAAAAGGAATAAGTAACGTTGATGCGTCAACTAGATCTGAAACACAGTTGATCCTGGTGCCACGGCAAGGTGTTGAGTCGGAGTCAGGGCTATTACTATCATAAGTTAAGGTCATTGCGAGCTTTGAGCATTCGTAAGATGGCTCATCAGAAGCTTTACAAACAGAACTCCCTGGATCAAAATTTTCCAGTCGCTCAGCAGAGCTATGAGCAAAATATTTAATCCCCTCACTGGTGCTAACTTTGGCCACATTCTCTGAGGAAAACTCAGGTTTTGACAGATCTGAGACCTGATGCCTAGATAGAAACATTGTATGGTGAAATATAAACAAACTAGTTATTTCCCGTGTCTGAATGCACGTAGTAATAAAAAAAATGATCAATAATAAACATATTTATATTCACACTCAAAATCAAATTACAAAGATAGAGAAAAGAGAAATAAATTTAAGCATCTGGTTGCAGTTGAGGCGAGTGGTGGTGGTGGTGGAAGATGGTAAAGGTTGTGATGGGTGACTACGATCGGTTGTGATGGTGGCAGCCGTGGGGGCAATGGTGATGGTGGTGGTAAGACAGTGGGGGTGGTGGTAGTAAGGATGATGGTGGGAGTGGTAGTGGTAAGGTGGTGGTTGGGCAGTAGGGGTGGTGGTAAGGTGGCGGCAGCAGTGGTGGGGCGGTGGTTATGGTGATGATGGTGGGGTGGCGACAGTGGTAGTGGTTGTTGTAGCAAAGGTGGTAGTGGGGTAACGAGAGGGCGATGTTAGTGGTGGTGGTGGTGGTGGTGATGGGGCAGTGGGGGTGGTAGTGATGATGGTGATGGGGCGATAGGGGTGGTGGGGGTAGTGGTGGTGGTGAGGCAGTTCCAAACACTTTTTTTTAAAAAAATAGTTATGAGAAATTATAAGTCCTATAAACACTTTTATAAAGTTACCCCAAACGCAGACCGATTTTCCCTATTAAATTTGGGGTATTAATATTAACCGTCGGATTAATTTTTAAGTAAAATTTATAGAGATCTCAACCACAAAAAGCAAAAGTCATTTTGTTTATCTTTTGAGATTTAAATTTTATTGTACTTTATTATATAGATATATTCCCACGTAGATACATCCCATGGTTGCAGAATTTAGAATTTGCCCAATATACATAATAAGAATAATCAGTTACCTTTTTATGAATCTAGATTCCTTGAGGGAGCTGACATGAGGAGAAGTGAAAACAGATGGAACAGATGCAAAACTGAGAGAATTAAATGTCTGTGTAATGTGTATGGACTTAACCGGCTTTATGGGGGAGAGACTGTTGAGAAAATTAAAGACAGGAGAATCCTGCAAATGGGAAAAAACTGGCTTCAGCATGACAGAGAAAGAGGGAATGCAACAATTATGAGCAGAATGAAATTACGAACCAAATGCAAAAGACTAATCGCATTTAGTTGAAAACAAATTCACAAATATATTAAAAGCTTGCATAATGTTAAGTTACAGACAATACGATAAAAAGGAAAATATTAGATGTTCTAGGGTGGTAAACATATGTTTGCTGCAATAAAAATTGTTTTACAGAAAACTAAACACTAGTGCAAGCATGAATGTGGTGGGGAATACATGAAAAACACTAGCCAGATTCATAAAAGAATTCTAAAATAAACTAAAAATACAATAACCCACATCCTATTTCACACCCACAATCTCACATACAACGCTCATTTTTTAGAGACGTTTTCACTTTTCAGTGATTATAGAGTAAATACAGCTTGGTAAAATATACTCAAAAAAATTGCAAACAATACAAACAAGTTTACATTCAAGGAACAAAATTAGGAAAGCTGTTACACTCCATATTTGACACCATTGTGATACTTCCAAGTAGCAAAGAGGGTCTTCTTATACCAAGGGTAATCTTAGACTTGCCTGATCCTTAGATTGGGAAGAATTTCAGTGTGTTGACTGATTGTATCATCCGAGAGACCACCGAAGTGAAGGTGAATAGTGGCAAGAAGACTTTCTACAAGATTAGGTGAAAGGAGAGACAGGGTCCGTTGTTGGCCCGGATGCCCCGCCCTTGGGGTATCCTGAATGATGCAATTTAAAATGACCAATTTCTCACAAAGCATTCTTAATTTCTAAGGAAAAGATTGGAATTATGATACAGTCATCAATTAAAATGCCTGCAGACTGGAGGGGGCAGTAAACCTATAAGAAAAATTATGCTAGTTGGTTAAATTCCTTGTAGGAAACACAAATATCAGTGGTAGAAGATATTATAAACTTCCAAAGTCACAGAAGAAAGAAAGCACAAGATAACAATCCCACACAAAACTGACACAGCACAGGAGCAAGGTACACACACAAAGCTAACTCATAATCTGAAAAAATTAAAATAAGAAAGGCATCAATTATCACAGAACATCTTCACTTGAATCACTTGAGAGTTCACATCAAAAAAAAAACACTTCAGCGTGACTGTAAAATCACCCAAATCAGCAGAACAAGAACCTAATTCTAAAAAACATGGACATGAAGCCACGCGGAATTGAAATCCCCACACATGCAAATTGGCATAATTTAATCCAAATCCAATAAAACTCATTCTAAAAAATCAAACACCACAAAAATAACCCTCAAAACTAAATATCAAAACCCTAACACCCCCTCCCAAAAGAAAAGAAAAATGAAAAAAAAAAACTTAAGACTTACAAAAAACGATGTACAAATTTCGACACATCAATGAAAACCAATCTTCCCTGAACAACCCCAGTAACTAAACACCACAAGTTGGCTGGCCACAAATTACACAAAATTAAATAACAAAAATCAGTTACTTCACAAAATTAACCGAAACCCTTTCCTCCAAACTTTCCCAGTAACGAAACTGCACAAATCACAAATCAATTAACTCGCTACAAGTAAAACCAGAGTGACAAAACATCTAAAGTATTCAGATTAAACACCAAAAAACGATTAATTCATCAAATGGGTCAAAACACATTTCTCAAAACTTTCCCATTAACCAAATACTAGAAATCAAAAAACAATGAACACATTTCAACAGAAACCACAACTAAAAACGTAAATTATCCCCCAAAAAAAACCATAATTTCACTCAATTACTCAAAACCATATACTCAAAAACTTTTACAGTAAGCAAATACCACAAATCAAAGGTCAATGAACAAACTACTCGTCAATCAAAACGGAGTGACTAAACCCAGAAAAAATAAAAGATGCAAATTTTGTTTGGCTGACAAATCACCTCGAATCTAGAAATGGGCGTCATGATCTGGTTCCGCTGTGGAGTTTCCATCGCAACACCACCTCTCTCACTCTCACTTTCTCTCTCTGAACTCTCTCTCTCCTCTCCCATTTCTCTCTCTGTGCATGTACGTATAGATCAGTTTCGTATGGACCTCTTTTCCCTTCCTAAACCAGACAAACCCATTCACTCACTCACTCAATTTTTTTCCAGACATGAAGAGAGGGATGAGATTCAAGAAGAAGCGGGAAAGCGAGACGGAGAGAGCAAATGGATTTTTCTCGTGCTGATAAAAGTGACCGGCCCTACCACCAACCCAACACCCACTCCGTCTCTCTCTCTCTCTCTCTCACACACACACACACAGAGCTGTTGATGAAATTAGAAATGCAAAAACAGAGAGGAAAGAAAAAAAAGGTAACGTTCAACGTAAAATTTGGAGGGTTTGTATATTTAACCGATGTGATTTTACCATAATATCCTTCACTTTTTCCTTATTTTAATTTTACATGCCATTCTTCCTTTTCTTTTTCTTTTTCTTTTTCTTTTTTGTTTTGTCATATTTAAATCCATTGACTTTATCTTTTTTTCTTTTTTGGTATCAGAAATGGACATGCAAATAGGTTATTCTACATTTATGTCAGGGAGTATTATACCTTAGCACCACACAATTATATGCAAGGGATCCTACTGCACCTACGTCAAGGTCAAAACTAAGGTCTCACCGCGTACTTTGGGTGCTAAAAAATAAGTTTAGTTTTAACGAAAAATAGATTATAGAGCGTATGGACCATTCTCAAATTTGCCATGAAGCAATGACAAGTGTTTATTTGTCCAACTAATATCCTACAAGTTTGTAATTGAAAATAATCTCTATTAATAGAAGTACAAAATCATAAGGGATAATTAAATTGGTAATAGGGACAAGTCGTAAACTCATACATCCTGAATTTAAATTTTGACAACTCTTAATAGTCAGGTTATGATGGATATATCTCTCATGAATATCCTAATCCCAATATGGATGACGTGTCTTTAATCGAATCAAGAAAGAGATTAGTCGATATCCGCGTAAGCTGACCCAAATATCCAAAATTGTTGAAAAAAAAAAATACAACAGTGTTCTATACCTCCCTTTTAAGTTTCTCTATATCCTTCAAAGCATTTCAGAATATTTCTTCATATAAGCATAAGAATAAGTAATCCTTTCTAAGGTTTTCTAAACCCTTCAACAAGGTGTGAAGTGAACAAATTTTTTTTTTAAGTTTTGCAAATAAAATCTTTTAATTTGTATATTTGGCATAGAATTTATTTATTAATACTCATATTTAAAAAATAAAAAAATTAACCCCTCCAAACTTTTTTATTTTCCTCCATGCCCCAAAATATCGGTGAAGAATATTGAACCAAAATCTAAATTTTATATCTGTTTTCTTAATTATAAAACCAAAAAACCGATATATATATAAAAAAATAGTGTTTGAAACCGTCTCACCACTATCTCTTCCACCACCATCTCCCCCCTGTCGTCACCATTGTAGCCACCCACCACTACCACCACCGCTACCACCGTCACCATCACCATCACCATCGTCGTCGTCGTTGTCATTACTACCTCCACCACTATCGTTGTCGTCGTCGTCGCCGCCACTACGGTCATTATCACCCACTACAACTATCACCGTCTGCTAACATCACCACTGTCGCCCACCACCTCTCACCCTCATTACAACCGATGTTTAAATTCATTTATTTTTTCTCTATATTTGTAATTTAATTTTGGATATGAATACAAATATGTTTATTACTTATCAACAATAACTAGTTATTCAATATAATATTCACAAATTTTCATATTTCACATGTCATTTAGTTTTATTTGCATTATGGCATATGTGCAATACACATAAGGAAACAACAACCATACACCATAATTATATGTTTTGTTGGGCTGTTTACATGAAAGTTTTTAAAATCAAATTCTAGGGTGACCCCACCTGGACCTGAACCCCTCCTAAATTTGCTAGGTTAATACTGCTAGTTCTTGACATGACATGAATCTAATAATAATAATACGATATATTATAATAATTTTGATGGGTATTATTTTAAAAAAATTATCCAATTTTTTTTTTATTTTCAAAAAGATATCAGATGAAGCCTCGTCAAACTAAAATGTGTTCTATTTAGTTTTGTTAATAAATGAGGTGTTGTCTACAATAACAAAAAAAAATGGTATCATACTAATATTTATTATTTTTATGGGTATTCTTATTACTGTTATGAGTGTTTTATCATTTTTTTTTGTGTTTTACCAATATTGTGGTACCGAAAAAAAATGGTAAAAAAAATTACCATAACAGTGATAAAAACACTCATAACAGTGATAAAAACAACCACAAATGTGATAAATTATCTAGAAAAGTAATAATTTTTTATATAAAAAATAATAAAAATAGTTACTACAATGGTAAAATATCCATAGCAATGAATGATAAAATTACCTACAAAAGTGATAAATTTTGAATTGTAAAATGACCCACAAAATTATAAAAATATCAATTAAAGTAATAAATTTTAAAGGCATAATATCGAAATTTTGTTGTGGTACCATAATCAAGTCCTAGTAATTTTACATTTTGACCTAGAGTAAATATTAAATGTAACGGTGATATTATTTTAATAATGTTGACATAATTTCACTAATTAATAATACAACACCAAGTGGATATGGTGAATCATACTTGAATAATTATTTATTTATATGAAAGGTTGATTATCAATTTTAGTAAGACCTATTTATTTATTTATTTTAATATTATTAATTAATAATATCACGTTAATATAATCACGCAACACGGCAGTTATAAAGAACATTTTCTCCTCTATTAGGACCACCACTCCCATAGGCTTATTTATGTAAAGCTCGCCTACCACGTGACACCGCCAACAACCCCCCTCTTCCTAGGACTAGTGTCTAGTGCTCCTGCATTTTGAATCATATGAAATATTGTTGGACCATAATTTTGTTTGATTTATTACATTTCTCCCCTAAATTTTTTATTTTGTTTAGATTAAATAAAAACTAGTTTAGTTTTTTCATATAGTAATTTAGTCTTAAATTGTATTTTAATTTTTGTATTTGGACTTAAAAAATGTACGTATTAGCCACTATAATCACATTTTGCCTACTATTAAATTCTCAATTTTGTCCTTATCTTTACTCTCATCTCTCTCTCTCAATTTCTTAAGGGTATCAAATGTGTCAGGTTAGGTCATTTCGTATCAAGTTAATTTCGAGTTTATGTCGAAAATACCAAAATTCAATTCTAACATGTTTAATAATCGTGTCAAAATATGTAAACATTAACTTGACTTGGTTATTAAACGGATTATTCGAATCCAACATATTTGACACATTTAATAAACATGTTCTTTTTGAAGTTAACATAAATAACATGATCTGTTTAATTTGTTTAGTACGCATAACATAATCACATAGACTTGTTTAACACACATAATTTGTTTTCATACCAGTTTATTACCATTAAATACATTATTCATCCAAAATTTCAAATATTTTTTTTTCTCAATAACATATCACATCTCATCAATTAAATTAATTAAAATGCATTTAAGTTTTAACCCAAAAATTAAACTAAGAACTATATTAGTATAATGTCATAATAATGTTAATAATCATACTGTCAATTATCATAGTTGAAGCAAACACTAAGAAATAATAATTTTAAAACTACATCATTCATACATTATAGGCAAACTATACTGCAATAAATGGGTTAAACAGGTTTACAATAGGTTAGGTCAGATTCGTGTCCAAATCATGTCAACCCGTTTAAAATATACGTGTTAATCAGGTCAAATTTAAATTGACCTGATTTTGACATGAATTCGACATGATTTTTTTCGTGTTTAAGCATGTTGACCCGTTGTAATTCATTAATTAGTTTAATTTCGTGTTTAATTTCGTGTTCAATTCGTGTCATATTAACGTGTTGTGTCGAAAATTGGCAGGCTTAATATCCCGTAGACTTAATTAGATCCAAGTAAGGGTGTTAAAATATGACAAGATTTACGGACACAATATAAAATTAGAGAATTTAAGTTTTTTTAAGTCACTCGTTTTATATGCAAGTAGATCGAATACGACACGGTTAATAAAATAATAAAATATATCATATATGTAAAGTTAATCAAGAGAAATATACGATATGATTCGTTTATATATTAATTATATATAATTTATATAAATAATAATTAAATTAAATATAAATAAATATTTTGTAATTTAAGTTCATTAAAACTCAACCCGAAATGGACTCATGCCAATAGTGTCTGTATTTTGCAGCAAGTTGGCCTTTGGTGCAGCCTGCAGAATGATAGTATTTGTACTTTCATAACTCCCCTACATTCTCTGGAGGGCAAAGTTCATGATTGGTATGATAGTGTCCATGCCATGCGTGGTCTGACACGTGACACGTGACACGTGAATCATTACATTTTTTTCCCTTTCAGCACAAAGACATGAAACTAAAATAATGTTGAAAAAGAGGTGTTTTTCTGTAATTTATGATTTTATTTCCAATGACAGTCTGATTTAGAACTGAGCAATGTCTTCTCTCTCCAAGACTTTTTTTGGTGAAGCTCAGATTCCAACTCACATGAAAAAAAGGGTATAGTAGTTGACTAACTGCATTGACTCTATACCTTGGTCTATGTTTGATCTGAATGCATCTTGCAATGGACAAAAAGAAAAAGTTAGAATAATAAACTAATTATTATGGGGAGTTGTGTGTAATTATCCCTTCATATGTCATTTTTTTTAATGGTGAACAACCATTTTCTCTTACCGTATCCTCTTTTTTTTTTTTTTAAAGGGTGAAGACAAAAGAAAGTGCTAGAAATCACCTCAATATGCCAATCACTGGTAGAATTATGAGGCCCCTAATCGTGTTCGTTACTCCTCTCAGAAATGAACTTAGTTAAGCTAACATAGCGGTTAACAACCGAGCTCTAATAAAGACTCTAAGACTCGAACTTCCAACCTCAATGTAAGAAATTTAGTCGACGCTCCACTGGACTACCCCATTCGATGGTTTTTGATTGCATCATCATTTTACCATGCAAAATTCAGATATCTATACTATTACTGGAGTTATCAAAATATAAATAACTTGTTTATACAACACGAATACAACATGAAATTAAAAAGTTTTAATTTTTTAAAAAATTACCAGTTTAGTAAACGAGTAGACCCGACATGACTAATAAATGAATTGGGTATTATTGAAATCAATCAAAAGAAATACACGATACGACTTATTTATGTGTTAGTTATATATGATT